CCATTCCAAGAACGGGGCCCATGTGTCCGAGGGCGTCTTTTTGTCGGGTGGGGGGCCGGGGAGTGGGTTCATCCATCTAGATGCAACTAGGCTTTTGGAAGGGAGAACGCTGGGTGCCAGTGGGAGTTGAAGGCTCAGGGAAGTGGCTTCGGAAGTGGATCCGCAGTTTTGGCGAACTTTCGAACCAATCCAGAGCAAAGGGTGAGGGTCCAAGTAAAACGTGTCTGGAAGAAATGGGCCGGAGTGGTCTTGAAAGACCGCACAGTCAAGACACATTGAATCACCTTTCTGAACCAATACGTCAATAGAACGGTGATTTGACTTGATGCTTTCAACATTATCAGAGTTATTTAAAAATTGGCGAATAGCCCAGAAAAACAACATTTTGAGAGCCCTTGAAACGTGTGCTTTGAAACGCAAATTGTTGGCCTTCAAAGTCAACCAGCAAGAGGGGTGTCTGATTATTTTGTTGCCCCTATGGCCATCGACCAAGACAGGATTCGACTACTCCACGGGGCGCAACCCCTACGCGACACAGAGCACGCTTTGGTTCGTGTCCACGGCTGTGGTGGGGGTTGCCGGCTCAGTTTGGCAACATGTTCCGCTTTTTTGTGTTGTTGTTTTTTGTTTGTTTGTGTCTTATGTGTGTTTCTTCGTTGGTTCTGCACATTTGAGTGGGGTCGGCTGCAACAAACCACACCATGCTGTGTTCAAATACCTAGACGATATGTTGTTTGCTTCCACAATGCTGCCATATGATGCCGTTTCCATTTTCACCATCAATTCCTTCTACTTTGTCAGGCTTGAACAAGAGACCAACATGAGGATTGTTTAGCTTCAAAAGGAACCTCCCCCGCCAATTTGACTGGTTTAAGAGGGACATTGAGGTAAGAGGGTGGATTAATAGGGAAGCCTGATTTCAGAAGCTACTCCTGCTGAATGGTTTGGAAGGAAAGCTGAGTTGCTGGCAGTTCTATTTTCTGAATCAAAGGCAGGATTCTGTTTGTTGCTGGTTGATTAACAATCCTGACTTGAAATAAGCAAATCATAAACATAACAGCTTGAATCGTACTTGTGCACAAAAACACGGCGTATGCACAACCCGTAAAACATGTTGCTTTTGTCCTTGTGGGCGTTTCCGAACACGGCCATATTCCCTGAGGCACCGGATATTGCGTCTTTGCGACTGGCCCTATTTGTGGTTGGTGTCAAGGGAAACCCAACGGAACCAAAGCCATTCGGTGGGCCAAAGAATGCCGTTTTGACATATACCCCATATTTTCCTTTTGGCGATCTTCATCACCTTTTCAGCTGCAGATCAGTGTTTTTGGGGTGTCTCGGAATCCCCGTCGACCTGAGGTTGTGGCCTTCATCGCATATCCTTCAGAGGTACTTGTCCAGAGCCTTCTGCTGGCACTGCAGGCGCTGTTTCTGCGCCTTTCCAAAGCCAAAAAACGGGGAAATCGGCTTCGTCGAGTGCGGTCTTTTCTTTTCTTTTTTCTCCGGCGTGTTCAACTGTAACACCAGCTCAAAGGGGCTGTTGAGGTGAAGGTTTCCAGCAAACCCAACAGGGCCCAGGGCCCAACAAGGAGGTTTCCGTGGCCATGCAACGGAGTTTGGAAGATCCCTGGTTTCCCCCTCAAGCGGCATCGGGGGGTGTTGTTTTGTGGAAACAGGGGGAGATTTGGCGGCAGGGGTTAGGGGGGGGGCAGGGGTGTTGTCCCTTTAACATAATGTGTCTCTTCAAAGAAGAAAAACAGTTTGACTTGAACATCAACCTGCCAAAAAAATAGATGGTACCGTTTGTTCCTTGTGGGGTAGGTGGGTAGCTGGGTGGGTGCTTCCCTGTAAATGCTTGTCCATTCTTTTTCAGTGGGTCCCTTCAATCTCTATGACCCTATGAGCACTGTACAGCGGGCTGGGTTGTTCTTGTGTCGTAGCCGAACCAAAGAACACTTTTCCATTGCAAGCCGCGATTAGGGGGGGATACCCCCGCCCCCGCTCCAAGGACTTTGTCCGCCATGAACCACAGCTACGAAGTCATCGCTCATGGCAGCTGCTACTGGCAAAACATCCTTCGCCCCTTGGCAGTTCCCAGCCATATCCTCAGATGAGATGTTTAGAGTTTGGCGGATTTATGACATCTCTCCGCACACTAACATGGCACCTAGAGGGTGTCCCTTGAAACTTGTCCAGGTACCTTCCCACAGGTGCTATGTGGGAAGGATCCCGCAAAACAAATAATTGTGAAGTTGTCATCTAAGAAGCCAGTTCCAGAAGAATCTCCAGAATTTGTGCCTTTCATCATATTTCAGGAGATCGGACTAAGGCCCTGCGTGATGTGGAGTCCATAGCCTGTTTGGGGTGTTCTATTTCCATTTCAGGACATCCAAAATCCTTTCAGTGCCCCTTACAGGTGACACGTGTCCACGTTCAGCCATTTTCACTCGGACCCAGGCCCCGCGTTCACCATTTTGATGTGGCTGGGCGTGTTGCCGGTTCTGAGTGGTGGCCTAAGCGCCGGCTGAGCTTGATGCTCTGAGAGCTGAGCTAACAGGAAGAATTGACCTGGGTGTGCGCGCGTGCGTGCTTTTGCTTTTGGAGTGGCTTGAAGGAAGCACCAACAGGAGGCTGGCCCTTTTTTGCTGGGCACCCCCAGGAAAACACACACACACACACACCCAGCTGCACATTTGGAAGCGCGCCCGGCGGGCGGAATGTGAAGCCCAGTTGTCCAGTGTCACCCTTTGCCTTTTTGGCTTGAACTCAAAACTTCCATTTGCTTGAGATGTTTTTTCCTGTTGGTTTTAAAAGGAATCTAGGACTACTGGAAATATACTTTTTCCAGGGGGCGAAGAAGCAAATGGAAGAAAATGGGTCAAACCCAGAAAGGGCCTCAATTCTTCAGGGTCACTGGTCGCAACTGAAGCGATGCCCTTCATGTTACAAAGTGCACAGGAAGGAAGGCAGTGTACAGCGAGGGTCAAGAGCACCTTGCGAATCCTGGCGCGAGCCAGGCGTTTCTTCGCGGGGTGCCAGCCGGTTGGCTGAGTTCCAGTTCCGACGTTGCGAGAATTATCGCCGGGTGAACAAGGGGGGTGTTCGTGGGCCTTTCAAAAAAGCTCTGGTTTTCAACCACTCACTAGGATTGGTTCATCCGAACAGTTTCTAGGTCCAGCTAGGTGCCCTTTCTCACCCCCTTTTTTGGGGCAGGGTTCCCCTACTAAAATAGACTACAGAAACAAAAGGGCAGCCTTATTCTAACCTCTCCACTGGAGGACCCAGGTTTAACAGGAACAACCCCCGAGGTTGACAAGAACCAGCGAGTCAGCGCTTTGATTAAAGCGACTCGCTCCATGCCTGCGGGCCAGATGCTGGGCTGAAATCTGTACGGAAGCATGCGGATTCTCGAAAGCAAGTGAAACAGGGTTGAGCGTTCCTGGAAGTGAAAAGGGTTGACCAGGGTTGACTCAACCGTTGTTACTTTGCCCATGTTTTGCAACGTAGACCCCTGATTAATAACCTCACCTAACTTATTTGATTAGTGACGGGGGAGGGGCTATCAATCAGAGGTCAACATTGGGCTGGAAGCCGGGTTTCTGTCTTAACAGCCAAACATCACTGGCCTGCTTTGAGAGGCGGGTTGAGACAGCGGAAGAGCCGCCGGTCATGCAACGCACAAAAGCGAGCGACCAAAAGGGGCTGCGGAGGAACCGTTTGGTGGATTCAATTTACTTGGTTGAGATGCTTTCGGGAAAGTCGAACAATGCAACCAACTCCCTGTTTCTGGGGAACCAACCGGTCCTTTTGGTTGGGAAAACCGTTTCTGTTTGGCACCCTTTCTCGATTGCTTGGCTGCGTGCTCGAAAGAAGGGTTTTTCACCAGAGCCGAGCTTCCCGGCCTCGGCACTCTCACCCGGAATTTCATAGGCCCCGTTTTTTGTTTTTGTTTTAAAGCTTGGTGGCAAGCCCAGCCATCCGAGTTCACTGAGCTTTTCAGATCTTCTTATTGTTTAGTGGTGGGTTTCCGAATTTCACCCACTAAATGTTTCACTTTGAGCGAGGGATCTGAGGGCAGCCCAGTTAAGAGTTGCCCATCTTGGCCGCCCTTGTTTTTGTCAGCTTCCCCTTGGGCTGATGTTTCATGCCCAGCATTTGGAAGACCAACTCTGGCCTTTTAAAGACCAACTCTGGCCTGTTTGAGAAAGGTTTTGGAGCAGGTGAATTCAGAACTCGTACCATTGTGCGTGGTTCCCTTGCAACATTTTGGCGAAGCCGTCCGGCCCACGCTGCCATGAAAACCCGCCAGAAGCTTACAGGAAGAATGCCCGAACCGGGAGCCTTTTTTCGACAGGTCCATGTTGGGTGGCGTACGGGGTCGGACCAAATATGACCAACACAATGGGACGCCTGGCTGAAGCCACACATGAGCAACATGCATCCTACTAAAAGCAAAGTCCTGGTTGGATAGAGTGCCAGCTTGGACGGTTGATTCCATAGATGCTGCAAGCAGGAAACAAGTTGAACACCCCGCAATCCGTGAAACATGCCAGGGTTTTGTGGCTGGATGTGATTGGTTCACTTGCTTCATGTGTGGTGGGAGTCAGCCGCAGAAAGTTTCGTCCGCACAACCGCACAACCCATGTTTATAGCTCACGTTTGGCTGGTTGAAGCTAGCACGGGGAAACGCTAAAAGGTAACCTACCTCTGGCAAGCCAACCACAAAGCTATGGCAAATTGGAGACTGCTTGTTCTCTACTTGCATCTGCCGCCTCGATCCCCTTCGGGAAAAAAGCGTTCCCGTTGAATTGCAGGTGTCAAAGGAAACACACACACACACATGTGGTTGGCAGGGTGTCCTCGTAGACACCCTTGGATGATTTGTCGATCTTTTGCAGGGTGTCCTTTTTGCTTGTCCTTGGTGATTCTAAACGCGGTTGCTTTCTGCAGGGTGTCTATGGAAAAACGCAAGTGTGGTTGACCCCCCCGACAAGTCCGAGGATCGTGGGGGACGTCTTGGAGCGGTTCACCAACGGCACGCTCAAAGCCACGCCCCACCGCGTGCTGCAGACCCCCTGGGAGCGTTACTCCATCATCCGCTTCAATGTGCCTCGGAGCTAGGTCCCCCAGTAGTGCCCTAATTAACCCCTTTTTTGGTTGGGAGGGTTCCCCTACTAAAAAAAAATAAAATAGACGACAGAAAAAAAGGGTACCCATATTCTAACCTTTCTACTGGAGGAATTAGAAACGGTGGTTGGCCGTTAAGGCAAACCACTAGGTTCGCCTGGAACCCAGTCGCAAAAGGAACATCTTAGCAATTCGCTACGCCTTTTGAAAAGTCTTTTCCAGCGCTTGCATCCCATGCATGAATAATCCCCTTGAAAGTCACACACGGATCGGAACTGAATGCAAGGAGTGGTCGATGTGTGTATATGTCAAGTTCAGCGAAAAGTTGCTTGATGGCATGTTGGTTTCCCTTTATGGGCCAAAGGCACTACTTTTGAGACTCGGCCATATGTCCTGGTCAGCTACCCCCACACTCTCCTCAGACTCGGGCTAGGCCCCAGGAGCTTACGAGAGGGAAGACGGCCGCTTCACAGGCAATATGGCTGTGTTGCAAAACCAGCCCCTTTTTTGTGTCCATTTTAGTGGGAGACCAACTTGACAACGACCAATTCGAGGTCCGTGGATCCGACATGCAAAAGTCAAATCACCCGTTTACTTGAAGATTGCAGCCTTAATACGGAATTTCGACGCTATGGTAAGGGTGCTTCAGGAACATGACCACGACGTGCGTCATTTAGCCATAACGTAAAATGGGGATTGCCGGTTGATGAATATACATCCCCGCCTACAGGATGTCCACCAAAGGGTCCCCAATGAGAAATCCTACCCATATGTCAAAATACGGGGAAGCCGTAGGGCCATAAATGTTTGTTTTCCGCTTGGAATCCCTTTGAATCAACTGAAAAGGGTAGCAAGCAAGCAAGCAAGCAAGCAAGCAAGCAAGCAAGCAAGCAGGCAGGCAGGCAGGCAGGCAGGCAGGCAGGCAAGCAGCAAGCAAGCACCCAAGAACTCAAGCACACAAGTATGTATAAATAATATGTGTAGATATATACATATAATATAGATATGTGGCCGCAGATTGCGAACCTGCATGTCGCAAGTCAATTCGTCAAAGGCCATGACGCCGGAGACGCTCATCCAACCGCTGCCCCACTTCGTCTCGGCGTCGAAGCCGGCCATGTACACGCCGGCGGGCGCCTCATTGGGTGCTGTGGTTTCGGGATGCAGATATTTTTTCCCCCAAGCCCCGGGTTTTGGAGACCCAAGCGTTTGTGGACCCCGAAAGGTGTGGATTTCTTGGTTTTGGGCTTGGTGCTTCGGGTGGCCCCGAAGCTTGACATGATTTCTGAACCCCAAAAATGGATGAGTGGAATCCGTCCCTTCGTTTTTTGTTCAAGGACCAGCTTTCCAACTCCTAGTTGGGTCGAATGAAGCAACCCTGGGTGAAGGGACAATTTTGGGAAGGTCTTGGCAGACATTCATGGTTGTTGCTGGGAAACATTTTACAGTTTTTCTTATTGTGGTTTAGTGGGAAATCCCTACTTAACTGCTAAAATTTGAATGTTTGCTCCCCCTCCAACGTCAACCCAGCATTGGGGAAGGACTCCTTTTTGAGGGTCCGGAAGCTCCTGGCTGCGTGTCCCGTCCAGTTTTGAGGTACAGCCTCCGGCCCCGAAAGCTAGACCAGCCTTCAAGAACCTGGGAGCATCCTTGCTTGGACCCCGGCAAAAACCCACCCAACCCACCCAACCCCGCCCCAACGGGTCCGGGAGGGCGCCACAAACGCCGCCCCCCACCAAACCCCACCTTTTCCCCACCTTTTTCCCCAGCTTCCCCGTGGCAGGTGACCATGCAGAAGCACATGGACACCACGCTGTCCCGCTTGGAGCAGGGCCTCGGCAGCTGGGAGAAGGCCCCATGGGCCCCCGACCGGGCGATCGGTGACCCAGAGAGACTAGGTCCCCCAGGTCCCCCAGCTAGGTGCCCTAATTAACCATTTTTGTTTGTTGCGAGATTCGGTTCCCCTACTAAAATAGACTACAGAAAAAGTGGGCGCTAAATTATTCTAACCTCTCAAATCTGGAGGACCTAGGAGAGATGCGGGGAATGAGTTGGAAGGAGAACTAAGAGAACCATCGGTTTGCCATCCGTGGTAAAACGACTCATTCCATTTCTCGTTCCCTGCCGGCTGAGCACCAGCCAGAAAACCTGCCAGAATGTGTGGTTTCAAGGGCAAACAGGGTTGGGAAGAACATCTAGTAACAGTATGAATTCGAGACTGTGAGTTTGATGAACCCACCTTTTTTTAGGGTTTTAGGTTTTGACAATTGTTGTGAGGGACCTTTACGACCGCCCCAGATTGGATTGTGTTCAAACATTACTCCTCTTTGTTTTTAGGGGTGTGTCCCTGGTTTTAGTGGGAAATCATCAGGGACCAAGAATACCGGGGTTCTAGGGGTTGATTCTCCATTTGTTTCAACCATCGTTCTTTCAATAACCAGCTGTTTTCCCAGAGTTTGGTGGTTTTCTAGAAAGAAGGATCCCTGGAAAGAATGGGGAAGCTACCCTTTGAGGGGTTGATTAATATGGGGACCTTGTTAACGAAACCGTGTAGGGCACCAAGAAACGCTACGCCCAACTCGGGCTGCACCAGGGCGCGCCTGGCCGCAGCCTCTCCGCCAGCTATGTCTACGATGAGCCCTGAAGCGATCAGGGGCGAAAGGCCAGGGTTCCCACATATTTCCGCCTAAGAGGCGGCTAGAAAACCCCAGGTGGAATTTTAAAACGTGCTCGTTGAACAGTTTGGGGGATACAAACACGATTCTCCAGATCGTGAGGCTCATTCGAATTAGGGCGAGTTTCCTTAGGGAACCATGCTTGAAGCGGCGAAGCGAGCAGACAAAAACAAAGCAATGGCGGTGGAAAAGATCCGCACAATTCCGCACAGGTCAGTTCGCAGGTTTGTTCACAGGTTTGGCGTGGTCCCTTACTTGTAGGTCGTTGGAAAATGCTCGGGCACCCTGACTTTCATTTTCCAGCCTGGGAATCAGAATAGTAATTTCTCAATTTGTCCCCACAAAATTTTAGAATGCATTCCAGGCATCCTCTTGCGCATGTATCCCATCCCCCTGACGCGTCATCCCACCAAAAGGAGTTGTCCAAAAGGAGTTTTAGTTTTGCAACCGAAAGACTCTTGAAACCACTAGTGACGCATAGCGGCCCCTGCAAGCAGGGGTGCGGAATCCTGCAAGGATTGAAGCGGCCCATAGGTTGCTAGCAAGTATCATGACTAGGAGTATGATGAAGCCAACAGAAGCTTGGTCCTATGCGTATGTGCCAAAATAGGGGGTCTTGCAAAAAACGGGCGTTCCTTTTGGTTTCCCTTTAAGCCAGCCTGCGAGCGGGGTGTTTTGACCAAGCAATGAAGATCACTATCCATGCCAGTTTGGACAGTCCTGGCGTCTTTCATCAGCCGAGTGTCATTGTGTGTGTGCGCTGCTCTCTCTTATGACATGCATGTGACATACTGTGTCATCCCACTCCTCATGCATTGAAAGGGAGTCATATCAAGGTGACGTGCCAAAGAAGGGCCTGCGCACCTTCTGATGGCAGAGTGGTCAGACATGAGCAATCTTTTGGATTGGATGGTGCATTTGACCCCATGTGGCTGCGGGTCAAAAAGTATGTACCCAAAATGGAACCCTGGTAAGTGGAAACATGGACCAAAACCCGCGGTCCATTGGTGGTTTAATTTTGACCCACACCCATGTGGCGGCAACAGCTTTCCTGCTCGTCACAGCAGCCCATTTACGCGGCTCCAGAAAGAATCTGAAGTCAGCCAAGACACAAGCTACAACTTAGAGACCTTTGCAGGCCTTAGTTTTGTGAAACATATCTGTCATTGTGGTCGTGGGTATTTGCCCGATTTTCTCTACACCTGCTCTTTGGATTTTCTTGTTGTGGCATGGCGGACGTGTTCTTCAGCTGTCACACTTTCAGACGCGCGCAGCTGTGCGCTATCAGTTGCAGGCTCAACTGTCGCGTATCTCTCGGGCGTTGCCCATTCGCGCGGGCCATGCGACGCACCTTGCTTGCCTTGACGCTGATTCCCGCGCAAGGGCAGGAGCCGAAGTTGCCAGCCATTGCAGGTGCACAAGATACATGGCGTTTGCAGCGTAAGATTGATACATGCCATGGTCGAAAGAGCCGTTTGCTTGGCATGTAGGTGAACCAGCGGTCTTCCAAATCGTGGTGTTTGGGGGGCGTCCAATGTCAGTTTCCCCGTGAAGCGCCCTGTTTTCGGCTCCAAACTCGTTTCCACGGGCAGCCATATTCCGCAACGTGTGCGCAAGTGTCACTGTTGCCGATGCTTTTCGGGTGCGAATCCCAACAGATTCGCGCTCCCGAAAGCTACTAAGAGTGGTTCTACTACCCCAAACCACCAGAGGAAATTTGCTCGCACGTACAGGTAGAAACACCATTTTCACCTAGGGGAGTGGTTTGGGGGTAGTGGACATCCTCGTAGAGTCTTTAGAGCGAAGGGACCCAACAGCGATGACGCTCTCAAAAGGTTCTGTGAGCTTCCGGTAACCATTTGGGTCATATCAAGACTATTGCGTGTTCCATTACTTAGATTTGTGGTGGGTTGTTCGAGAATACCTCTTGCACTTGATTTATTTGCTTGGGCTGAGTTTGTTGATGATTCTACAATGCCAATTAGCATGCATGTCCAAACCAAACAGAACTCCAGGATAAGATAGTTCCTTCAACTGGCGCATGGAATAGATAATGGTTGCCGATGTTCCTTGATACAAAGGAGTTGCCGCTTTTCTCTCACCAAGGGAATCTCCTTTTTATTGTGGGAACATGAGGATGGGAATCGCATTTGGGCATCCCCTCAAAAATACAAATGATTTATTTCATTATTTATTAAATAAAGAAATTACAAATCCACTTGATATCAATGCTGAAATGTTTTGGGAACGGTGTGGGTTTGGTTGGTGTACAATTGGGAATTTATCATGTAAAGCCAGAGACAAGTTCCTGCTGACTTCCTAGAGTGGCACGTGGATCCGCTATGGCCACGAAAAAACAAATCCAACGAAGCCACGGTCAGCGAGGAGACGCTGATCGAGAAGTTGATTGACGCGCACTACCCCACGCAGTACATTGCTGTTGCCTCAGTTGGGTTGACCGCTCGTTTGAGTCCCGTGGCTGTGGCGAGCCAAGGAGCCCTTCCCCATGAAACGGCCAGCCTGTGCCTGGGTCTAGCAAAGGACCCGTTTGACGGTACCATTGGGGTTGTCCGATACATCTGACGTTGTTACATTCTGCCATGTGTTGGGCCTCAACCCTTGTTCATTTCGGGTGAAGATGCTGAAACTAAACAGGCCATATCCTGAGATCAGATGGGAAGTATGTTCAGATCGGAGGTGTGACCTTTCAGCCGTTTGTTTTTCCCTTTTTGATGTGTTTAGTCAAGGTCTCACTGCTTAAAACCTTTATTTCCAGGTCCTCGGGGCAGGCGAGGGCCGCTTTCTTGCGAACATTCGCAAGGCAAGGGATAGTCTCAACACGTCGCTACGGATCCGCCGTTGGAAGGAGCCTCACTACAAGCCACAAGCTACGGTTACATAGAGACCATGGCAAATTCGCAAGTTTGTGCACCAGAGTGGATAGACATGGCTGTGGTTGTCAAAACCGTTTTGGGATCCCATTTTGGTTGGATTAGGTGAGTTCACCACCCATTTTAGAACCTATTTTAGTGGGGTTTGGGATGTTCGCTGAAATTACGATTCGGATTTTGACCCATGGCCACATGTGCATAGCAGCGTGTTTCGCCAAGTGGGTCACGCAGAACATTTGCAAGCACACATGACCCCTCTAATTGGGGGGTGGTATGTGTGGTCATCAACCCTTCCTGGGGATTTAGACATCCCTTGCGCGTTTTTTTTTTGGGGGGGGGGTAATTTCCGGGGAAGCATGTTTTGACCATGGCTCACATTTTCCCTCCACCCACTATTGTGGAACCTGGGGGGTTTCGCATGCTGGAATATCATTTCGAGTTGAAACATGGCATTTCGCAAACTGGAATTACACGGTGGATGGGCGCTAAGCATGCTGTCATGGTGTTGCCTGCTCCACTCATCGCTCCACGGTTCTGGCTTATTGTGTTTCTTGTCGCTTGTGCTTCTGTACTGTCCATTTCACAGTTTCTTTTGGGGAAGGGGGCCGCATCAAGGACGCAAAAACACCTGTTGAGTGGCACATCATTGTTGATTTCTCCACCGAAGGACGGACATTTCACTGATTTTCCCAGGCCGATCCAGAATCCGTAGCATCTCCCAGCAACATGGAACCTGACTGGAGGCCCCAATAGCATTTTCCTCAAGTTGATTCCATGGTGGGGGTGCGACCTGGTTTCCTCATATGGCTGTGGGTCAAAACTAATGGTACCATCTTGGGGTAGGTGAATTCACCACCCAAATGAGGACATATTTTAGTGGTTGGATTGGGATGTTCACGAACAATTTGGATTTTGACCCATGGCCAAACTGTTTGTTTGTTGAACCAATCTGTTTAGGGTACCCTCAAGAAACACAGCCCCATTTGTGGACCCCAAGATGAAACCTTTCAGAACTGCATCCTGGGTCGTATCGACTGTCCTTTCGTTTCCGAGGTGCAGCAGGTGCAGCCGGGGCAGATCGACATCGACGGCCGCCTGGAGGAAGATGCCTGGTCGGAGGTGGGGGGCGTGGGGGGTGCAAGCCGGCGATGTTCCGTTTGCTTGTTCGGGCTGTGTTCCTTAGCAACAACAACCATTCGCGGAAAATAACAGCAGCCATTCGTAGAGGGCATTTCTCATCGAGGGGAGGTTCTTTTCTAGGGCTTTGGGTTTGTTTGGTGAGTTCCCGTGGAAATCTGCAGGACCCGTCATGCAAGTGAGGAAACTTTGGTGGGCCTGCGTCCACAGTTTTGGAGGGTCCAACCAAGAGCAAGGGAAGCTATGGCCGTAACTATGGCACGATCGAGGGAACACAGCACCAAAAAGAGGGTTCCCCAAAGCGAGACTCTAGGAATGAGTTTTGTTCGGATTCCATGTTAGTCTGATGACTGATTTGAAGGGAGGCCAGAAGTGGAATAGTGTTTTGTCAGGTTATGCAGACCCTTTCTTCAATACCTACCTGGCCAGAGAGGCGAAAGTTGAGACTCGACCAGATGTTCAACTGTCGGGCCTGGAGGGATAGCCATGAAGTTGGGGCGTGTGTTTGCGTCCAACGTTTACGCGTGAGTAATAGTAGAACTGACCCTGCATTCTTCTTGGAAAGCTACTGGGACCTGTACGGCATCGGAGTCGCAGTAGTTTTTTGAACTCTAATTGACGCCTTCAGGATCCCTAGATGTTTCAGTTCACTTGACGTGAACTCCTTTGCTAGCCTGTGTAAACTTGAGCCAGCTCGCAGCAGGGGGTTATGGCCTCTCAAGATGGCCTGGTTGCACTTGGCGGTATCTTGAAGGCTGCGACCGATGCATATACCACCTCAGAGCGCGAGAGGGGAGAAGAGGTGAAACGCCTGAGGGAGGAGTTTGTGCCCCGGGCTGAGCTAGGAAGCCTTGACCAAGCGCTTGCGGCTGGAGTTAGTGCCCCGCAATGAGCTTGAGGCACTTAAGGCATGTATAGAGGGCAAGGCCTTGGCTCAAGTTCTCATTGCGTGACATTGCTGGAGCCTGGTTTGAGACAAATTCAAAATGCCGAGTGCGGGTGTCGGAGGATGGCACATGCATGTTCGACAATGGCAGCAGCAAGCAGGCTACAGCGCTGCAGAATGGGAACATTCAGCTGGAAGGAGGTTTTTCGTCGTCAATGCAGAAGAGTTCCCGCAAAACACTGATTTGGGAGAAAGATGGTAAGCAAGCAGCTGAATGGGTGTACGAGATGCCTGGGGGATCCAGACGAGTTGCCTTGAAGCTTGACTTGCGTGCGTTGATTGATGGAGAGCGACATGATTATCGCAAGGGGGAATATCACTACCAGTTCTCTTTGATTGGCTGCGAGGTGAATTTACTTCTTTCCAGGAATGCCGCGGACTCTGGTGAGCCTGGTCACCAGAACCTGCGGGTCTATTTGGGCCTACGCGAATCCACCACAAGGAGTAATCCGCCTGGGCCTACAAACAGCGTGGATACAATTACTTGTCGTGCGCAAGTCGAAGTATGGGACGCACAGAAGAAGACATGGGTTCTTTTGTGGCGGTCTGCCATTCGCCGGTACCCGGCTGGTTCATCAAGTGGAACTCATTCCGCAGTCTCGCTGGCCTGCTTGAAAGAGATTATTCCTCCACAAAGAAGCTATGGAGAACTGCCAGCACACTTTCGTGTCACCATAACAGATATCGGCTTGCTTGAATTGTCCAGGGAGCATGTCATAGGGCCTTCCTGAGCAAGGCAAGTATGATCCAGGGAGAAGTTCGCTCGCGAGCAAACCACGTTACCCTCGCTACGATACACAATTAATTTGCGTGGTGACATACTAGTGGATACGACATGTGTTCAATGCTAGTTTTCACCGACTGCAAGTCAAGCTAAAAGCTAGAAAGCGTTAGCCGCTTATAAGAAATAATATGATTGAGAGACTGCGCAATGGCATGCGTGCATAATTGCTATTTGTCCGTGGCTTGAATTCAACCCCAGCACAGCCTGTATTTTTTGACAGCAAATGGTTTGCTGTGATTTGTTTGGCCGATTCCGGGGAGGTTTGAGAAAATAATCTATACGCCGTGTGTGATGCATGTTTACTGAAGGTTGACGGGAGGGCGCGTGTTTGATAAGTCACTAGTGTGTAGTGGCACCTCACTACTGTATCAGTACTAGCATGGCCACAGACATTGTTTTAGAGTGTGTTTGACGCGTCATTGCGCACATGTATGTCACACACACACAGACACAGACACGGACGCAGGCACTGACACTGACAAACAGACACAGACACACAGACACAGACACAGACACACAGACACAGACACAGACACAGACACACACACACCGACACACACAGACACACAGACACAGAGACACAGACACACACACACACAGACACAGACGCAGATACAGACACAGACACAGACACAGACACAGACACACACACACACAGACACAGACACAGACACAGACACAGACACACACACACACACACAGACACAGACACAGACACAGACACAGACACAGACTCACCGACACACAGACACACAGACACACAGACACACAGACACACAGACACACAGACACACAGACACACAGACACACAGACACACAGACGCACAGACGCAGAGACACACACACACACAGACACAGAAACACACACAGACAGGCACAGACACAGACACAGACACAGACACACAGACACAGACACACACAGCGACACACACACACAGACACACAGACGCAGAGACACAGACACACAGACACAGACCCAGACACAGACACAGACACACACAGACACAGACACAAACACAGACACAGGCACACAGACAGACACAGACAGACACAGACACACATAGACAGACACAGACACACAGACACAGACACAGACACACAGACACAGACACTGACACAGACACAAACGGACACAGACACAGACAGACACAGACACAGACACAGACATACAGAGACACAGAGAGACAGACACAGACACAGACACAGACACAGACACAGACACAGACACAGACACACACACAGACACAGACACAGACACAGACACACAGACACAGACACACACCGACACACACAGACACACAGACGCAGAGACACAGACACAGACACGCACCGACACACACAGACACACAGACGCAGAGACACAGACACAGACACAAGACACACACACAGACACAGACACAGACACAGACAGAGACACACAGACACCGACACAGACACACAGACACAGACACAGAGACACAGACACAGACACACAGACACAGACACAGACACACAAACACACAGACACAGACACACAGACACGCAGACACAGACACAGACACAGACACAGGCACGGACGCAGACACTGACACTGACACAGACGCAGAGACACTGACACAGACACACACGGACACAGACACAGACAGACGTCAGACACAGACACAGACACAGACACTGGCATACACACAGACCAGACACAGACACAGACACAGACACACACACACAGACACAGACACAGACGCAGAGACACAGACACACACAGACACAGACACAGACGCAGAGACACAGACACACACACAGGCACAGAAACAGACACAGACAGACACAGACACAGACACAGACACACAGACACAGACACACACCGACACACACAGACACACAGACGCAGAGACGCAGGCACACACAGAGACAGACGCAGACACAGACACAGACACGGACAGAGACACAGACAGAGACACACAGACACTGACACAGACACACAGACACAGACACACAGACACACACACAGGCACACGCCGACACACACAGACACACAGACGCAGAGACACAGACACACACAGACACAGACACAGACACAGGCACACGCCGACACACACAGACACAGACACAGAGACACAGACACAGACACAGACACAGACACAGACACAGACACAGACACAGACACAGACACCGACACAGACACAGACACACAGACGCAGACACACACCGACACACACACACACACACAGACACACAGACACGCAGACGCAGAGACACAGACACACACACACAGACACAGACACAGACACAGAGACACAGACACACACCGACACACACACACACACAGACACACAGACGCAGAGACACAGACACACACAGACACAGACCCAGACACAGACACAGACACAGACACAGACACAGACACAGACACAGACACAGACACACAGACACAGACTCACACCGACACACACAGACACACAGACGCAGAGACACAGACACACACAGACACAGAAACAGACACAGACAGACACGGACACACACACACACACAGACACACACCGACACAAAGACAAAGACACGCAGACACACAGACACACAGCCTTTTGGGCAGCGCTTGGGGTTGGGACATGGGGGCTGCTGGGGGGGCTGGCCGGGGCACCTTGATGTGACGGAACCCCGTGACTGTGGAAAGCTTGTCTTTAGGGCCAGCTTCCAATTTGATTTTGCAGTGATGAATCTGTTCTGGGGATGGGTGATGTCACAGAAAGGGGCGAGTTACCACAACCCAACCCCTGCCTTGTGGGATGGGCTGGGCGTGGGAGGTGCCCTGGTTGGACAACTTCCTGGACCTCGCGGGGCCTCGCTTTGGCCAAAGATGGCAGGAGGCCTCACGAGACTATGCCAGGCGGAGGGGGAGGGTTTGGTCGGGCACCCGGCAAGGGGAGGAGGGCTTGAAACTTGTTGGGGCTCCGAGTAAGCGACCCCAAGCACCCTATGACCAGAGTTTCGCCCTTAGGCGTCGAAAGATCGGCAGCGCCGCTGCTAGGCGCTTCACGGGCTCGGAGAACCCCACGCGCGTGAAGCTCCGCTGGGACGAGGAGTTCCTCTACGTCGGGGCGGAGCTCACCTCCAGGACGGCCAGCCTCCCTGGGACGCAACCCACTGTGGGGATGGAGGAAAACCCATGGAACATGGGGCTATTTAGAGAAAGCCGTGGAAAAGCTGGAGTGGGGTTTGTGGTTTCTCGGAGGCTCGAATCAGAATGTGCTTTTTGTTTGAAGGGTTGGAACAACCTTCAGAATGGATTGATGGATAGGGCCCCCATTCAAAAAGGTATGGAGTTCATTCCGCGTGTGAGTTTCCATCAGGGGATGTGCCAACCTTGCGACAGAAAGGCAAGGCAAAGGACCAAGAGTTCAGCATCATGTCGCGACGTCACTTTTGCAGTTGCCGGACTTGATATTATTTGGAGATATTATGTGGTGGGAGGTGTGAGGTTCAAGATGATCCAGGCAAATTTCCTCATCCGTTCGAAGTCGAGTTGACGTCAAACTCGTCCAGTTGGGGGCTCCCCAAAATGCTGGTCGTCGTTTTTTGTACCCACAAACACACAAACCAATAATATCTTGTCTGATGTTTTACATTTAAAGCAGCGGTGCCTGGCTATGCTGAAGGAAGTACGGCTAGCGCGCATGCTGTGCACAACTTTTAGAGTTGTTACAGTTTAGACGAATATCACGAAGCCGGTGTGTCTTTTTAGGGGGACTCCCCCCCCCCTGACACCACCAAACAAGAGGTACCTTCAAAGAATGACACGCCCATATCCTACTTGAACAACATATTTTGGCAGATAGCACAAATCGGCTAGCATGAGGAGACAGGCATCGTCTTTGCAAGGCCAAAGCGGGCCGCAAGCAGATTCCGCTAAGAGACTGGTCTGTTTGCTCAACAGAGACTGGGCTGTTTTAGCGAGAATCTACATGAACAACGGCCATTTAGAGGGTCCCACATGCTTCAAATGTGCGGAGCTATCCCACTGTTATGCAAGGAAGTATTAATTTTCAGCATCCGAATCATGTTTGGATTCTCATTGCTGGGTTGCCCCCACTGGTTACAATCACCCTTGCTGGGTTGAGGTCAGGGGCATAATGGCATTTTGGGGTGAGTGCGTGGCAATGTGCATGCAATCCAACCATATTCACAGGTGCTTCATTTGGCGTTTGGGCTGGCAGTCTTGATTTTGTACCCTGAATCTATTGATCGCACTGTAATGGGAACTCAGGATTGACAAACCACTAGTTTGCCTTCATTGCGTGTGCAACCCGCTGTTGGGAGCTGCACCCCCCATGTACCTGCCAAGCTGACAAATCTGGGGTCTACATTGAGTGGGCCGAACATGCCTTCCATGGATTAAAGGGGCTTTAATAGCTTCAGATGCACCGCTTCAATAGTTGGGCGGACTTCGCGCTGATTGCTAAATATTTGTTTGCGCCTATCATGTTTCGCGTGATGGATGAATTATCCATCTTCCCATGGTGCCGCGTTCAGCGCGTTTCCTTTGGCGGGGCAACTATTGATGATTTGTTGCGGGAAACGACATAATAGGAAGGCCCATCATGGGCTGTCGTAAGGCCAGTTTCTGCTGGAACATCTTCCCTTGAATCCGCTTCCGTCAGGGCGGTGGCCGCTTCGGTGTCCGGCCACTGCGAGAACTTGAGCAGCACGGTATGGCAGAACCCAGTGCTGTCGGGCGGCCCAGCCTCCGAGGCTTGGTGAAACTTCCGATCTTGAGAGAAACCCACAGATTGTTCGGGTATTCGGTTTTGATGGTCTATCGCTTTGCACTCTGGGGGCTAGCGGGTTGCAATGGTTGCAGGGTTTGTGGCGGTCATTTTGTTGGGCACACCCATGGAACATAGCAAGGACGTTCTCACCCATAGCTGCCGTTCGACCACTTTGGGCTTAAGTTATGCCTCAGGTCATGTCGGAATGAAACATGCATTTGGTCCAACCGGCTGGATGCAGCAATCCCAGTAGTTAGTTTGCCTGATGTGCAGCCTGCAAGACGGGGTGAATGAAAGGTTGCTTGTTTTGCCTGTAAATTTCCCTTGCTTGTTTGGCGCAGCTTGACCAGGACCACTTTTGCAATCGCACCATCCCATTTTTGTCATGTACCCTTTTTTAATTCTTGCTTGCTGTCACGGGTATGCGGTCAATTTGCTTGTTTGGTGTCACTGATGAAATTGCACCATCTTTTGTCATGAACCCTTTTTCTTATGTACCTCTTTTTGTGTTCCCAGTGTACCATCCCCTTTTTGTCTTTTTGTTTTTTTGTTTGTAGGACACTGGGACAGGGTTGGAAGGCTACGGTCCTGAAACCGTCGTCCCCCATGGCTTGGGATCAAACAGTTAAGCTGGGTTCCGTTTCCGAAGGCGACGGTCAAAGGTGCGAGTAAAAAAAACAGGGATCCCAGGCCCAAAAATGGGTTACCTTTCTCTACCACTGGGCAGAAGCTCATTGTCAAACATCCGTTTCATTCGGTGATATTCTTTGCTTGCAGCATCGTTTTTCTCTTTTGGCAGCATCCCGGGGAATCCCTGACCCAAAGCGGGAGCGATGCCAGACAAGGGAATTCACCTTTTCTTGGACATCACAGACCAGTAAATATTGCTTCAAGAGGTTTGGTCGCAGGACTCAGGAAGATAGACGGCATGTACAGAGTGCTCCATTTTTGAGGCCCTACTTTGACGACGACTTCGAGGTCTTCATCGATGCTTCCCAGAGCAACTACTTCTATGTGGAGTTTGAGATGAATGCTAGGAGCGGAACTGTGAACATGCGATTTGGTTTTGTTTGTAAAGTCATTTGACTAGCAAGTGCGGGCCACGGTGCCTGTTTCTGTTTCGGTAGGTTGGGGCAAGACGTGGTGGCCTGCAGAAATTGAGTAATTGTGAGCACGATGCAAAGCCTCATTGCCGCTTCCAGCTGTGCTTTGTGCATGTGGGTGTGTGATTTGCAAGTGTAATTACCCTTTTCAGGTTGATTCAAAGGGAAACCAAAAGGGAAACAAAACCACAGCTTTTTCTTTTTTCCCCCGTGTGTATGTTGAAATTCCTCATTTTGGATTCTCATTTTTTTTTTTCACAAACGAAGCGAGCAAGTAAGTGAGTGAGCGACTGGTGGTTGCAAAGAACAAAACACCTCGGTCCCCCAGTAGTGCCCTTTCTCACCTTTTTTTGTTGGGAGGGTTCCCCTACTAGAATAAACTACAGAAATAAAAATCGGGTACCCTTAGTCTAACCTCTCCACTGGAGGAAATAGGAAGCCTGTATTTTGGGTTTCCCCTCTGATCCATCCCCATGTGGTGTGGCCCGTGCTTACTTCGAGCTGGGTAAAAAAGACCGAGGCGAAGCGAGCAGCATGCGAGCAGCTTGCGGTTCATTCAATGATGGTTAACTTTCATTTGCTGAAATGAATATTTTTCCCTGTTGGTTTTAAAGGGAATCTATGACTACTGAAATTATTATTTTTTCCAGGGGGCTTGAGCAAATGGAAGTTGATTGATGATGTCTTACCCGTTGAGTTGGCAACCCGTGATTTTAGCTCTGGAGATGTCTACACTTTTTGAGTGAAGGGCTGGGGGGCAAAGCGCTGCACGTTCAAAGTTCGAAACTGATTTCAGTTTGGCTCTATTGGTTTACCAGTGCCATCTATTTTTTCCAAATATCTAGGTGCAAGCACAAGTGAAGAACAAAAACACAAGAAGGGGATTTGCTGTGCATGCTGGAGGGAAGGTCTCACAGCAAGTGGTGGGATCAGTTGAACAGTGCTTCGAGAATCAACTTCTGCGTCACGCGAGCGACGCGTTGTTTTTCGCCCGATGGGAAAGTGGTCAACGCATTCCTTTGTTGGGCGGACATCGTGAAACCAGCACATGACCAACTCGCACGGGCAAACTGCTTTCAAGGAGTTTGCTTCCACGTGGGAAATTACATCTCTTGGGTCCCATGCTTGCAAATATACATGTATTCCCCTTACCCACAGGGTCACCCCAACAGGAAACTCACTTGGGACCAGCTGAACGTGAGCTGACTTGTGGTTCTACATGTTCTTTTGTTGTTAACGTTTTGCATAAGCCACATTGAGTATTCACTATGTCCCGATCTGACATGGGACCTTGGTGAGTAAACCCAAATTCCTCATGCTAGTTTGGTGAGTGTAGCCCATGCCATTCGCCCTTACTAAAGTAAATGACGGACGGTAAAGATTGACAGTGCTCATATTTGTTATAATCCCAGTTAAGCCAAATAGTAGAGCTATCTACTAAGATGGCCATTCTAGCTTCTCACATTGCAGGTAACCCAACCACATCCAAATACAACACCTCCAATAAAATACGTGGAGATTGCAATGTTATCATTGTGTCCCTACTTGTAATGATTATGAAGTTGGCATCCACTGCAGGCTTCAGGGACACAACCATGATCAGGAAGTAACTTGCCTTAATTGTACCCCACCCCCAGTTTGATAATTCAACAGGTGCACACTATTGCGATGCTACTGGACAAACGCGCGCAGTTCTCACATTCCTGCAGACCTTGGAGTTTCGCTTGGATGTTCCTTGCCAGTGATCTCGCTGTCACAGAGCGGGTAAGGAAGTAACTCCACAAATGAACGGCAGGAACCCCCAAAAGGAATTCCTGCATGGGTGTTTCTGTTGAGTTAACTATAGATATAAGCACAAGTCTAAACATACACCAACCATCATTTTCCGCAAGCTACCTTTCGAGTTTCGTTTGGGCCTTTTTTTGGATCAAATCCAAGTAAGCTATCAGTACATCTCGTTTTGTGCGAATCGCCTTCCGAGAATCTGCAGGGCCTACTTAAAGGGGGCAGTGTACTTAATGAGTGGTTAGTAAGCCTGGTTATAACCCACTTAGGATACTTATAACCATGGCTTCTGTGGGTTGTAACCATGGTTACTGACCACTTGCCTGACGTACCCCATCGCCCCTTTAAGTAGGTGTTCCCCTTGAAACATCACCCCAATGGAAAGTCTCCACTGTTTCAACCACTCGGGAAATTATAGGAAACGCCGCTGTCAGGGTCAATGTTTGTAGGATCCCCCTGGGATTTTGGTGAGCCTTGCAACCCTTGAAACCAATCCCTAAAAGGGTAACCTCACAAAAACCCGCCCTTGTTCATTAACCGACATTTCAGGCGCAGATCAGTAGGGTTTCGATCAGGAGGGTTTCCAAGCACAAGTTGTGGCTGTGGCTCAGAACAATGTGCCAAAATGGCCCCTTGGTAAATGGAACCCAAGACTAAAACCTGCGTTACCCCTGCTGGTCGAAAAAAATGAGCCACACCCTGGTGGCGCAGCAGCTCGTGTTTTTCTTCGCCCGAGAACCGCAGGAACGCGAGCTACTGCACTTTGTGGTCGCTGCCCCAGGCGGGCCTCGGCTCCGTGGCCCCGGAGTGCGGGGCGCCGGGGACGCAGCCGGGAGGGGTCTGCTGCAACAGCAGCTGGAACGGAGGACGGGGTTTGGGGGGTGGCTGGGGGGGTTTGGGGGTTTGGGGGTTTGGGGGGGGGGGTGCGCTTTGGGCTGGGTTTGGGGGGGGGGGGATTTGTTGCCCAGTGGATCTGTTGTCATTTTTTTTCTGGGATTGTCAAGTGGCTCTTGGGTGAGCGAGGGGCATTGTGCAGGCTCAAATTGGTCAGGTCGTATTGCAATGTAAGATGAAGGGGTAGAATTGCCAAAAATTGGTTCATCTTTCGACCCTTTAGTTTCTTTACCGTGGGTTTTCAGTAGACTCGTTTCGTATCTTTCATACCAGACCAGTGCTTCCAGACGTGCCAGCATAACAAGTAATCAGCGATAACCATGATATAAGCCTAGAGGTAAAGCACCCTGGATACGTGGATATGTACGCGCTATTGGAGCTGTCAGCATCGACCCCCTCTCGGCCAGGAAAGGGCCTTTGCGACCACGGAGTTGAGCGCGAAGGCGGGGGCTTTCTGTGGGTGGTGTGTGGAAACGGTAGAGTATGCACTTCGATGTTTAGCCGACTGAGTGGGTGATAGCCGTGGCTCCAGCAGAGCCATTATATCCATGTTTGTCACCTACTTACTGACCAAGCAGATAATTACCACCGGATGAATCGTTGGTAGTTCAACGAGCCATGCAGAAGAGCAACGCCACAACGGACCAGGGCTGTTTGATGCAGTTGTTGATGCATCCACTAGCTTTATCATTGGATCAGCCGATCCAGTTGTCACTTGTTTTGTCACAACATGACGAGCTCATCCACAGGTCCAACTGGTTTGAAAGCCAGCGGTCTCCTCGCAACTCCTTGCTTCAGCAATCGCTTCTGACCAGAGGATTCCAGACCGTTTTCAAAGGGGTTTCCACGCGTGTCCTACTGAGTACTCTTTGGGAGCTTCTTTGAGATGGCCCTTTAAGGTGTCACAGATGAAGGGGGACGAAATCTTTTGTTCAGCCTGCCGATTTTTGGGCCAGAGGTAAAATGGAGGTTAACACTGCATCTTCTTGTTGTTTTTTTGTTTTGTTTTTTGCGGGGATGTGGTTTCCCCCCTGGTTTGCCTTGAACATCAACCAACAAGGGCTACCCTGAAAAGCGACACACCCGGTTGGCCGCGCAAATCATATCACTCTAGGGGTTGATTCCCCATTCTTTTCAACCATCTTTCTTTTCAAAAACCGGCTGTTTCGTAATGGTTTCCTGAAAAGAAGAATGCCTGAACAGAATGGGCATGTGGTGAGGAACCATATGGTTGTCCACTTGGTTTCCCTTTAAAATCAACCCAAAAAGGGGGTACCCTCAACAAGAAACACCCGATCCGGAAAAGTCCGCATCACCCCGAGGCACCGCCTGGACCATGGAGATGTTTGCGCCCCTCCAGCGGCCTGGACGGGGCATGATGTCGGCGGCGCCGCTGGGCTCGAAGTGGTTGCCGTCGGAACAAGTGGGGTCGGGCGAAGTCAATTTGGGCGTGGGGGAAATGGGAGGTCGGGGGTCAAATGGGATTTGGACCCCCGCAAAGATGGGTGATTTCCTTTTGTCTAGGTCCCCCAGTAGTGCCCTTTTACCCTCTTGTTGAACACTTCATGGTTGTTGGGGCACATGTTACATCTTTGCTTGTGGTTTAGTGGTTAAGATCCAACCACTGAACTGCTAAAATTGATTTTTTTTTTGCTCCCCTTCCAACGCCAACCAAGTTTGGACCCCCCGCAAAGCTGGGCGGTTTCCTTTTGTAGTGCGCAGTGCGCATCACTGGAGTGGGTGCGGGGCCGGGGCTTGAGGGTTTGGCTTCTCTGTGAAGGGCATCCGGATAAAGAAGATTTGTTCGGTGAGAGGTTCCTTGACAGACACGGGGTGAAAGAAGTTTCCATGTTTTGCCAGAAAAGAAGCTTACAGGCAAAACTCTGCAACAGAGGAAGATGAGTGGTCAAGGGCTCAGTTTGTGTACCCGTACGTACAGTGTACTTGCTGGGATTGGGGCCTGTTTGTTGTGATTTTAAGATCATGGTTGTGGAAAATCGAGCCATGGGGATGGGAATCCCACTTTCGAATCACGGAAAGGGTTACTCCCACAACAGTGCTTGGAACTTTTTTTCTGGATCCATCCATTCCACATGAAGAAACCAACAAGAAACTAACCAGCCTTTTGAAGCGAAGTAGAAACGGTGCAAGGAGTGTTTTTTTGGCTCGGGCGACTGGCAAAAACACATGTAGATTTCAAGTAGTTGACATAGCGCTGGGTCATTGTTGTGGAAAATTGGGGTTTAAAGCGCATCACCTTTAAAGTGCAAGAACAAGTCATAAGGGTTTGAGTTTGTGCTACCTAGGACGCAACTCCTAGGTCAGGGCTTGCCTGCCAATTGCTGCACCCAGGACCAACAGCACGGAGAAGTGGACGCTGGAAATCCGCTTTCCCATACTTTCCAGCCACCTGGCAGAGGGACTGCACGATGGTTTCCACTGCGCCATTCTGGAAAAGCGGGTATGTACCTTTAGAAATGTAGATAGTGGGTATAGAGTTGTCGTATATCCCATCCCACTGGAGGGACGCCTTCAAGGCGCAACAAGTGATAGTGGTACGGGCGCCTATGACGCTTTGTGAATAGGGACATAGTGAGGCACTAAGGGCCAAGCGCCTCCAGGAGTTTTAACTCATAGCTTGCCGTATGTGAAACTTGTCATAGGGACCCTTGGAACGCACATCGCGCAGTCGCTTGCGGTACACTCTTGGCATTGCTTTGTTCCGTTTCCATTTGGCATCTGTGCCAGACAATTCATTTTGTCACAACCGGTTGACCACCTCGAAACCACGCCTTGGACAGTCAACCGACTCTTCAGAGTAATTGTGCCTGCGTTTGGTTTGCAAGACGTGGCTCTCTCGAGATGCGGTGACTAAACATGTGCCTGAGCTGCAAGAGCAACTTGCACCTGCCTGAGCTTGGGCTGAGCTTAGGCCCCTTTTCATTGAGCTGTGCAGGTAGCTCGGTCCTCAGCTCTCAGGAGCTCTCTGCGGCTCGAGTCAAAAGCCGTGGCTTAGCGAATGAGAATTCTTGGAATATCCCTCGCTGGGTCTTGAAAAACCGAATGGCCACGGTGCGAATTCGCAGGCTCTGACGGATGGATCCGAGGGCCCTACATCCACTTTTTCTCATTGCCAGGCATGATCTTGTGGAAGTGGCAGACGCAAGAAAACGTCCTCTCCGTCCAGTCACGCAGCCGCCCACCGCACGGTCCTGCCTTCAACACTGCCAAAGAGGCGCGGTACCCACGGCCCATGTGCACAGCACTGTGCGACGTTCTGGACACAGTTGCGCAAGAAAACGTACGCACGCTGGGACGTCCCAATACGTGCTCTCAGCTTGTCAGTGAATGCTTGCCCGTCACTTGTGTGTGCTTGCCAGCAGTGCCGCCCCTTGACGGCAAGCGCTGCTTGAGCTGCAGCGTTCCGAATTTGCCTTGGCCCAGCTCCCTGATTGCCGAGCAGCTCACCCTGTCCGCGCTCGCAATGGCTCGGGCGGGTTGCAGAGCTCCTGCACCGAGAGAAGGAGCTGAAGGTCAAACTTCACCCGTCTGTGAGGCAGATTGTGTGTGGCAAGCACCTTGCTCTCGTGCAACGTTTCATGAATGGGTCTTTTTAAAAGACTGAGTTCGTGGACGCCGGCCTTCCCGAGGGAGCGCTTGCTGAACTTGCCCTCATGGAGACCTAGGCTGGCGAACATTGTGCCCGCAGAATTGCCATCCTTTGTTGGGAAGCTGCAATGGCTGATGCCCAGGCAGTAGAATCGGGGCCTTGGACATGCGTCGCAGGCGCTTGCAGCAAGCGCTTCTCAGTCCTCAAAGCATTGCCGCGCTCGAGAAGGATCCTCCATGGTACAACTCTCAGCCGCTTGGAGAATCTCTGGATTTATTTTCATTGACTGAAGAAGCTTTTCCCATCCGAGGATGGTGCGCATCACGTCATAGGCTGTAAGAGTTGCTCTCAGCCTTGTCGCGCTGGAAGCACATTGACCCCAGGCGAATTTTGCTTTTCGTTGCGCTGGGCAACGTGTGTGAGTGTGCGTGTGTGTGAAAAGGAACATCGGAAGTTGACGCTTGGAGGGAACTCCTCTTGAGCGGCCACGAGACCGCAGACCGCCATCCAAGTTCAACATCAGTATGGCCCCAGCCGTGCCTGCCTCAAGGAGCGCTGTCAGTTTTCTCCTTCGGGTCGTTTACCCACTCTGCCCAATCACGGCCCACATGCTGAAGAGTCGATCTTGTCTAAAGCGGACGGCAAAGTGACAAGATGTTGTCTAAGATAAGCTTTGTGGAGCTGGCGCCGATGGGTGCAGACATGCATGGGTGGGAATAGCATGGAGTCTCACCACTTCCCCCGTTGGCAGCTTGACGAAATAACAGGAGCGTCTGAGTGAGTCAGGGACTTGCATTCATTTGATGTCAATGCTTCAAGATTTCGAGTCGTTCGGTTTCATTCGCAAACTCCATAAATGGACTTTCTGTTTGAGCACACGTTCAACGTGCTCCCATCTGCGTTCTGGGTCCTGAGGACACGTGTGGACTTTGATGATTTGAGGGGCCACGCGTTTGCGTAAGAGCTTCTCTGAAGTCTTGTGAGGCAGCCCCTAGAGGTGTCCCGGCTTTATAAGGATGTTTTGTTAAACAACAAGGCTTTCATCACCGAAGCATAGAGCCTCAAAAATGCAGTTGTTTTTCTTCCTTTTTTTTTTTTCGGGGGCACGGGGGGACAACAGCGGACCGGGCCATGTCCCCTAGAGGCAGATGAGCGAGGATAAAAAACAATCCCCTTATGCCATACGTGGCATATCGACCGCTGTCAAAAGTCTTCTTACAAAACGCTGCAAGTTCTGCTGGGATTGTTCGATTTAGGATATCTAGCTACAGCGCAAGCAAAGCAGGGTTGCAAAACCAACTCGGTGAATCTGCTGTTTTTGTGGCCAGGGATTCCGCCTGGTAAAACGAGCTCGCTCAAGAGGAGTGATCTTTTGAGGTTGGTTGCCTTTGCGAAACTGGTTATGGAACACGTTTAGAAGTGGCCCCCTATCCAGTTGTCATTGCCGGTTGGTGAGTTATTCTAGCTCAAAACAAACTGTAGGTGTCCTCTTGAGGGTATGCCATAACTCAGTGTTCTCGAAAAGTTTCTCCAAGAAAGTCGGAGAACCAATCTGGGGAGCTGGTTTGTTGACTGCAGCTCCTGGTTTCAACCACCAGTGTTGGTTCATTACAAGCCTCACAAATCCAGCTGACATGCTGACAGGCCAGGTTGTTTTTTTGTGTTTTTTTTTTCTTCCTTTTTTGTCCGAAGCCATCCCAGGCCCGGAGCACGGGGGCCTGCTGAACCTGCCAACCGCGCAGCGCCTGCCCCACGTTCCGGTGGCACGGGGGCCCATTGAAGATGCGGGGGCTAGGGGCGCTGAGGGTTCCAGTTTTGTTTTTTTCTTTTTCGAGGGGTTTCTACCGAAAAGCGACCGGGCGTATTTTCCCAAGGAGGAGCCTCCAGCTGCACATGCTGTCCTCACAATGTGGGTGACAGTTGTTTCAATCAGAGGCGCGAAAGAGCGATTTTGCCCATGAAGAAGGTTCCTCTCGATTCCTGAATTCTGGATTCTAGTGATGAATTACAGTAAATTGCCCAGATGAGCAGACTTGGTTAATGCAACTGACCCCCCGCACAAGGGCAATCTTTTTGCGGGTGAGTGGAGAAAGCTTTGTCATTTTCGAACGAGTAAAACAAGGCTGCCCCAAAAGAAGGTTTTGCGGTTCTGCAATAAGCTGTGGGGGTCTCATGATGCTCAGAATGCGCACCATGCTCAAAGGTGAAGCTACACATTACATCACTGGCAGAAGCTGATATGACATACATCACGTAGCATTCCAAGGCCTGTCCAACATCTATTCGGCGGATTGACATATCGTTGGTAGAGGAATCGGAATCTTCTTTTGCCGGACCCCCTTCTTTGAGTTCCATGTCAACTTGCAGGGACGTACAATGATCACCCCCTTAAGGGTCCCCTTCTCCCACCATTGCTCCTCAGGCTCCCGATAATCCCCCTTTTCCTTTCTTTATACGTTTCCCCATAAACTCAACTACCGAAGCTTTTTGCCCATGGACGCCGCCTGGGGGCAGTTCACATGGAACGCGAGGTTCGGGGGGTTCTGGTCTGGACCATTTTCCTTCTAACGGGACCCTCGAACGTCAGGTTCCATGTGGAAATTGGTGGGAGGGTACCTCCAGCATATGCCTTGCGCTGCTCGCGCAGCGTCAGTCGGGCGGTCGGGGGGTTTGTTCGGTCCGAGGAGGATCTGCATCCGGCGAATGGCCAGCGATTCTGGTGGGCCACGCTCCTTTGGCAGACAAAAGGCCGTAGATTTCGTCTAGGGCTCCTCAAAAAGATACATTTTGGAACCATTTGAAACACGTTGCTTTTTCAACAAAATACAGGGAAGCCACCATTTACAAGGCAATGCTCAGGTGTATAATGTAAGGATCCCTGTGCAAATCATAGCCGAAGAAACCGTCCACTGGTGCACTCTCTACCCAAGGAAGCCAGAAGGGAACCAGTCTGAATTGACCTTTTCTCTTTTAGGCTAAAGAAGCCGTCAGGACATTCTCCAGATAATTCGCCAAACAACTGCTAACTTCCTGGAGATGGTTTCTTGGAGACAATGGTTTGGAGCACCGCCTGTTGGAAGAATACGTTCCTTGTAGTCCAAAGACGAAACCCGCCAAAGGGGTCCGTTTTCGAAGCAGATCGGCGGGTCGTCTTCCAGACAGGCCAGGTTCCATGATGGGAGGCTACTTTAGGTCCCCTAGCTAGGTGCACGACCTCTCACCCCCTGTTTTTTGGGGGAGGGTTCCCCTACTAAAATAGACCACAGAAAAAAGTTGGCACCCACTTATTCGAACCTCTCTACTGGAGGACCTAGTACCTTTTTGGGGCTTGAGTTGCAGGAAAACCAAGGGGCGCCTTGCATCCGATTGCATTGGGATTGGGAGGTGAGAAAAAGTCTGTACAAACGCCTTGACAAAATCATTTCAGAGCTAAGGGTTTTGCTTTGCGACCATAGGTGTCCTTTTTAGGTTAGTTTGATTAAACATAGATAGCACTGGTTTAGATGGGGTTTATTCCATTTACCAGGGCCATCTATTTCCAAAAGGCCAGCTATGATGTTTGCGACCGGTTTGGGGGATGCAAGATGAACGTGTTTTGTCTTGGAGGTCCCATTTCATGGTTGTTGTTGGGAAACATTTTACATTTTTGCGTATTATGGTTTAGTGGTTGAAATCCCCACGTAACTGCTAAAATATGATTTGTTGCTCCCCTTCCAACGTCAACCAAGCTTTGGGAGGCTTTTCGAACATGACCTTTTGGTTCTCAGTTTGCCCCGCCCAGCTAACGTGGAGCACCCAAAACACAACAGACATGTCGAGGCTCTGGTTTTGGGCCTCCCATCTCGGTTCCATGCCAACCTGGGAGACCAATTTACTCTCACTTTTGCCTGAACAGTATCTTTTTTTTTTTGTTGTTTTGTTTTCCTCCGTATCGGTTTACAATGGTCTTGGCCGCAAAACAAACAAGTTAAGGGAGGGTCCCTTACATAACGCAAAGGCGCGGGGTTGTTTTTTCAGCCCCACCTGACCAGGGCCAAAACCTCCTCGCCGAGGTTCGCCAATGCGCTGCACGCGCCTTGGTGGCGGGACCTCACGGCGGCGGACACGAAGCATCCGGAGCGTCCTGGTTTGCAAACGGGAGGGTTTTTCCATAACTAGGCCCCCCAGTAATGCCCTTGCTTACCCTTTTTTGGTTGGGAGGGTTCCCCTACTAAAATAGACTACAGAAAAAAGTGTACCCTTATTCTAACCTCTCTACTGGAGGACCTAGGAGTCCTTTGAATCGGTGAGCTTGGTTAGAAATAGATGGGTTCCACTGGTTGATGAAATGGCTGTGGGTCAAGAATATGTACCCAACAAAGGAACTCTGGCAACTGGAGACTTGGACTACAACCTGCGGTCCATATACTGGTGGTTTAATTTTGACCCATACCCTTCAAATATGTTATATTCCATTGACCAGGGCCAATCTACTTTTCCCAAACGTCACCTATGATGTTTTCACGCCTTGGATCTTCATCTCATGTGATTAATGGGCACCCCGGAAGAAGAGATAGACACGGTTGATCAATAGCGGGGCGTGTTCCGATTTAGTGGGATGGATCACTGTTGGAGGGCAACATTGAGTAGGCAGGTTATAACATATGTTCTTGTAAAGGAACTCGCCAAGGTTGTAACTTAGTTGATGTGGGTCAAACACACAAGTACTCGCTTCCCCACCGCTTGACTTACTTCCGCACATTCCTTCGCAGGTCCCCTTAGTAAGGCCTTAGCCTTAGCAAGAAGCTCACTTCCTAAATTGGACTTTGAGCTGGTTTGGAAAGATGATTTTAGTGGCACTCGAATGTATATTTACTTTTGCTGACTAGTCCACTCAGGTAAAGCAAAGTGGGCTTGGAGTCCACTTGTTATCACTTGTTGTTTAGTTCTTTGTTCTTGTGGTCCCTCTTTGAGCCAGTCGCTTGCACTGGAATCGAGGCAGCCGCGAAACAAGGTATGGCCAGACTTCTGAGTTGGGTCAATCAAGTGAGGTCCCCCCATGTGTGGAACGAGTCTTTGTAGGGCCATTAACTGTGATACCACAGTGGCCACCCCCCTCTAGAAGTAAAAAAGTAGTCCGGCGCTGGGAATCCCACTTTGGTTTGGTTCGTGTCATTCTTGGGTAGATTTTTTGAAGGTAGCTTGGCAAACCACACCTTTGCTTGGGTTTCCCCAGTTTTCAGCAGACTAATCTACTTGCAAAGTGGCTTGAGCATGGTAGCTACACACCCTTTAAAACATACTGCGCCTCAAATTCCTACTGGGTACGGGGTTTGATGATATGGCTGGTGGGTCAAAAACAGGTACCCAACAAAGGATCTCTGGTAATGGCAACGTGGACTAAAACCAGCGGTTTCATATCCTGGTGGTTTGATTTTGACCCATGGGTGCCCCAGTGGTGCCCTTTTACCCTTTTGTTGGGAGAGGGTTCCCCTGCTAAAATAGACTACAGAGAAAAGAATCGGGCACCAAACTATTCTAACCTCTTTAGTGGAGGACCTAGAAAAATGGTCAAACCCGGAATTGGCATGTTCACTGGGTACGGGATTTTGACCCATGGCCATATACCGAAATTTTGTCCCATGGGATATCCGGAGCTACCGAACGGCCGGAACTCCGAGGCTCATCAAGCAGCGCTGCGAGGAAGTGATCCGTGCGGATGAGCAACGCTTCGGCTTCACGCAGACGCTCCGGCGGCAGAAGAAGGGAATTTCTAGGGGTTGATTCCTTTTCCATTCTTTCCAACCATCGTTCTTTTGAACAACCAGTTGTTTTCTAGAAAGAAGGATCCCTGGAAAAATGGGACTTTAACTTTTTGCTTGGATGTTAGGACTTTAAGTTTTTGCAAACTCATGGGTTTTTCATTAAACCACTAAAAGTTAAACTTTCAGCAGGGGAGCAGAAAGCAACCGAGTAAGGGAGTTGTCTTTGGAAACCAAAAGGGGGTGAGGGGGGAGGGGGAAAATGGGGGCGGGGGCAGGGGCAAAATGGGGGGCAGGGGGAGGGTCCGGGGGTCTGCATCGGAGGGGTCATGACCCTTAGGGATCCTGCAATAATCGATTTGCTGTTTCCGGCTTGCTGTCTTTGTCGTTTTCGGGAAAAGCAGCCCTTAAGGCTATGAAGGGAGTTGTCAATAGTTTTTGCTTGTTTGGTCCTTCATGTTGTTGGATTTAATTTGGGGGCAAGGAGTGTGGGTGGGTGCCAAAACGGATAAGAGTTGTTTTTTGCCAAACCTTTCGCGCCCTTTAAAGTAATATTGGCTGGCAATCGGGGGTGAAGGGGGTTTATTAGTCAGGGGTCAACATGACTTTAACCCCTGTCGATTTTCAGCTCTAAGAGTCACCTTGGGGGGTGTTCCTCTGAATTTGCATGGGAAAACGCCTGTACATTTCCGGGTTTCGGGCGGGTCTTTGGGGGTGAGAAAACTCAAGGGCACGTATGCTACAACCCCCCCGGAGGTTTGCTTTGGTGCATTTTGCTTGGATGTTAGGACTTTAACCTTTTGCCAGCTAACGGGTTTTCCATGAAACCACTAAAGGTCAAAAACAACTTTTGGCAGCCGAGTCCAATTTGAGGGACGGCGAGATAGGTTTTTGCTGGACGCCAACAACGCGGCGCCCACCTGCTACTACGAGGCCGCCTCCCAAAATCTGGGTGGCCACCAGCCGGGGGCCCCGGCCGAATCGATCGGCTCCGCGGGTGGCTGGGGTGGACGACGTTTGGAGTTGGCGGGGGTTGGTGTGAAGGCAAAGCCAAAAGGAGCCACCGCTTTTTTGTATGCAAGGTCCCCCGTGGTGCCCTTGCTCATCGCTTGTTTGGTTGGGAGGGTTCCCCAACTAGAATAGAGTACGGAACAAAAGGTACCCGTATTCTAACCTCTCGACTGGAGGACCTAGTATGGGTTTGTAGGGAGTTTGACAGGATCTAAGTAGAAGTGGTGATTGGGGGGTAATTATCCCGATGCTTTTGTTGGATGAAGATCATTTTTGAAGGTAGCCGCCCCCCCACCCCAAATAGGAAGGGTTTGTGAATCCAGGGAGAAACACATTACCCTCTTTGGGTTGGTTGACAACTCCACCAAAGTTTGGGTGGTACCGATTCCTATTTTGGGAAGAATCCAAGTAGACGCCCTGACTGATTTTGTTGAATAGTCCGGATCGCTTTGACACCTGCCCAGGATCTCTCTCAACGTTACAAGGTAGACGTCAAGGATTTCCCTTTGGGAAATCCACCTCTGGGTTTAAGTCTACCTAGTCCAAAAAACGCAAAAGGTGCGAAGGAAGGGTTGCTTTGTTCGGCCCTCTCAACTTGTCGCCCTTGTTTTCCCTCAGCTTTTAGCTTTTTCCAAAACAGCAGAAAGTTTGCTTGTTAGCAAGGGGTAAAGGTTCAGCTTAGGTTGCGAGCTTCGGGGTGAAAAAGCGAGCTAGGTCCGATTTACTTGGGGGAAACCACTGAACTTGGGATGTTCGACTCAGAAAAGAAAGTAGGTTTTACCAGTGAGGCGCTGGGGTTGGTCTGCTTAACACCGTGGTTACAAGCTGCTGAGTTGAACATTCAAGTGGAGGTCTTGGTTTCGTTTTGAGCATCTAAGAAAGGGTCCTCCTGAATGTTTTTCCCTGGAAACCCGAACAAGTAAAGGGCTTATTGCCCTGTTCCCTCAAAAGGACTCCTCCAAGATGGCGGGCTGGGGGTTAAGTTAAGTATGGGGCTCTTACTTCTTGCATACTCATATGAATGCATGCGTGAGTGCTGGCCACAATGGAGGACCGCAAAAAAAAAGTGGCTGGTGTTTGCTCGGGAGTGATTCGGGGCTGCCTTCGATGCCGGTGTCTGTGCTTGAGCATCCAAGTTGCAGTCCCCAATTGCAAGTAAGGATGCTCATTCCATTTGGATCAACAAGTGCCTGTGTCAAAGTCGCTTGAGAAACACTTAACATTGTTCTGGGGAATACTTTTAGTGACATTAGTTGTACCGGACTCTTTAAGTGAACATCTTGTTTTAAGTGAATGCAATATTTTTTTCTGACCATGACAAGCCTTTCAAAGGTGGCACTTTGTTGGGATGCTGGCAGTACCATGATTGACATGTTTTCACTTTTGACCCCCCCTGGAAGAGGCGGATTTCGGAGGTTCCCGCTGTTTAGGAGGATCCCTTGGAGCGAAAGGGCAAACTCCACTAGGTCCGCCAGTAGTGCCCGACCTCTCACCCCTTGTTTGGTTGGGAGATTCGGTTCCCCTACTAAAATAGACGTCCTTAAAAAAATCGGGTACCAACTCATTCTAACCTCTCCACAGGAGAACCTAGGCCACTTGTTCCACTGGCCCAGGTACATGCACAACCCGGATGCCTTCGGGTACTTGCAGTTTGCTCCTTTTGGCAGCACCGAGCCCTGCCGCAACGTCTTCTGGCTTGCGCGCTTTGTGCTCGCGCAGGTCTACCAAGCTGAGGCACCAGCTTGGCCATTTTCCATGCAGTTTGGCCCTGGGCTTCGGGGAGCCCACCCTTTGCGTTGTGTTTCAGTACCTCAGATGGGTTTCCCTCCAGCAACGACGGCTAACCTGCAACGGGGTCCAGTTCGTATTTGAGGCGAGTTCATTTGGGTTTGTCAGCACCCCTTGCACAGCCCATTGGATGTGGGTCGACGTGTTCGACAAGGCACCCCGCTTTCTTTTTCACAGCCCGAACCGGTGAGCGCCCATACACCATGGAGCCTCTACTCATGTACGGTTCACGTCTTGCATGGTAAGTTTCTAAGAGCAGGTCTACGGGACGCATCAGCCCAGTCAGGCCACATGAAGCTTACGGAACATACAGAGTTCTGGCAGATGCAAGGCGCAGGCCTAGAAACCAAGTAGCGGACATAAAAGACAGATAATCCAATATCCGGGCCATTCACATGATCTACCGAGATGATGTTTGTGACTTTACCCTGCACTGAATGAGGTTCATTGAATTTCTGAGTGGATTTCTGAGTTGCTTGATAGCTACATGCGTGCTCTGTGTCTTCCGCGTGGCCTATGCACGATATGGGTTGAAATTGTCAAGCAAGGACAAGCCGCCATGTGTCATTGCTACCTGTCTCTCTCTCTCTCTCTCTCTATATATATATATATTTGTATATGTATTTTTATCTATCAGATGTGCATTGCATATCGGCAAACCGCTCTATTGCACTTGTTATTTGATGGTGTGTTTCACATGTGCTGTGTTTGACGGGTGTTCAATCCAATTAAGTGCAAGGTTCCTCAACAAATATAAACCAAGGAATTGCTGATATTAGTTTGATATATTCAAGTTTAAGCCAAGTGGCTTGCCTTTTCGGGATCGCTGTTTGTCTTTCCAGTTGCCACTTATCGCCGAGACTTTGCCTTTGGCAATGCCTGTTGTAGGAGCCTTGGATTTGGAACCACTGCGCGCTGTGACAGACTCAACTTCTGGAGTTGTTGTTTTTTTTGGGCAACTTATACATCCTGAAGCCATTCGTGCAGAAGATTCTAGCAGCTCCCGGCTTTTTGTGACTGCCTTTTGGGCCATACGTCATGCAACCCGTCTCTTGGGTTACACAAGGAGTTGGTCCTCTTGGGGAAACAGTAAATGGCCAGCCTCCTGTTGGGTATCGAGAGATTCCGCACGGGAAGCGTTAAGGGCCTAGGTTTGGGTCAACATTTGGTGACATTTTTTACTTGCCCTCTACCAAGATGATGCGTGAAAAGATTCCAGTCCTAGGGTTGACTGTTGACCTTTTTTTTTCTCTTGGGGGTCCCTACATTCCACTTTGCGGCTTCATCACCTGTTTCCCTAGAACAGATGTGAGAGGAAATATATGGGGAAGTCTGCAACCTGCAAAGAGCGTGCAGGTGCAATTCCTCATGAACGAGCACTTGGGGAACGGCTCGTTCACCTCCAACGTCGCGGACCGGGGGTTACTTTCTCAGGTTCTGCGAGCGCCACAAAAGATGTCACAGCCCCTAGAACCCAGGTGTTTGATGGAGATGTTTGCACATTTGCACCAGGGTCGGGCCAACATCTGTTGAACAACGAAACCTGCGCGCGATCAGCTACTCAGCAAGTGATTAGTGACCAAGTTTACGCCACACTTAGCAAGAGGATTTGGAATAAGGATTCCCGCTATTTAAAACAGCCCAGGGAAATCCGTTTTGAGTTTCTGGTTAAGAGGAATACCCGAGGACATCCTTAAGTATTTGGACGGGGACCCTAGTTTGAGCAGACGGGGAGAGTGGTCATTTCTCCGGGTGTTGCTTTCTCTGGGTGGTTTGGTTGGTTTTCAAAGAGGTGCGACTATTTGTAGGGGCTCTGTTTGTCTAGCCCAGACACCCAGTGGTGCCCACTTCCTCTTTTTTGTTTTGTGTGTGTGTTGGGAGTTCGTGCCCTTGGCTACTGGGGGCTTGGGCTAAGATCCTGCTTACATCCCTTGAACAAGCCGTACAAGCTTGTGCAAGCCACTCATCTGGGTGAATTATAATGACCTCACGCGACCAAATTTACCCCAAATGGTGGTTTATGTGGGGAGTAGCCCCCCAACCACCGCAAGTTTCAGGTTGGTGAAATATTATAATTCACCTAGACTCATGACTGATGTTCAATGGGATATGGCCGCATGTCTGAAGTGAGTGGGATCAGTAAACAGAACCCCTATGGTTTGGAAACACCCCACTTAAGAGGTAGCCAATTTCCTTGCTGGTTCTCAGCAGGGAATGAGGGAGGAGGCCCCTTTTAGCCATTTTCCTTGGCTCCCCGTTAGTTTCCTTTAAGAGGAACCCCTTTTGGTTCGTTCCCAAAATCCCTGTTGATTTCCAGAGAACCCACCTTTGGTGCATTTTGCTTTGATGTTAGGACTGAACAACTTTTTGCCAAGCAATGGGTTTTCCGTATTAAACCCACTAAAAGTTAGTCACTTTTAGCAGGGGAGCAAAAAGCAACCGAGCCACCACGCCGCAAGTGTCCATGAGAAGCTCCCAGGACCTGCTGGGCGCAGCCTGCACCGTGAGCAACGCCTGCCACAGCAAGGCCTTGCTGGCGGCCCTGAGCTACGTGGATCTGCAGATCCGGCAAAAGGAGCCCGGAGCCAGGCACCGGAGCGCGACGAAATCGCCGGTGAATCCTTCCATGTGCTTGAGAATATGTATAAATATACATGTATATATATATATATACACGTTCTTTCTATTTTCCCCTGTTGGTTTTAAAGGGACTCTAGGACCTGGATATATTCTTATTGTTTTCCAGGGGGCATAAGCAATTGAAGATTGCTTCTGGCGCATTCTGGAGTCTGCGGATTCTGGCGGGGGGGTGGACTTGGATACTGATTCCGCGTCAGGTAGGGCTTTTAAGGAATAGATAGACATATCTGGCCTTACGTGATGATCAGAAGCCTTGCGCAAGAGTCACGAGCAGACTAACCTGGGCATGTGGAAAGCTTGCCAATTTGGTCCTGCCGTGCCAGTTCCGAGGATTGTTCCAGGTCTCAGCGAGGTTAGTGCAAGCTATCATGTAAACTCGATTGCTTTGGCCGCTTGCAGCACCAACCGCTGTAAATTAGCCAAGGGGCCTAGTTCCAGCCAAGAACAGCACACGCCACACAAGGCACAATTAACTTTCGTGATATCTATACCATGCCTTTACCATGCCTTTACCATGCCTTAGTGTTTTGAATGTGTTCGGGCTTTTCAACAGATCTCGCATCGGAATGTCCTGGTGGCCAAGCCAAAAGCAGACCTGCCATTTTGCTGAATATTTAATGCCTTTTTGCTTTGGCCGTTTCCGTGGTTTACCACTGTGGGCCCTGAATTGGTTGATGGTTGCAACCAGACATCACACGGTGTTAAAGGCCCCCGCTTTGACGCCTCCCTGGATGTTCAACCATCTTGTAGGTTGTATTTTGATTGTAAGGGAACTAACCTGAGTTAACCCAAATAGCATCCCACTAACCCCAGTTATGACTATGGTTTAGTCTTGGGGTCAAGACTATTCAGGCTAGAATCAGAAAATTACGAATTGTTTTGGGGTATTTCAGTGGGGCAGCGGTACCGTGGCACGCCATAGCCAACTTGGCACGATGGTTCCGCGCTGCGCCGGTTCCGCAGGTCTGGCAGCTGCGTGCGCTACGCCATGCCGGGCATCCAGAACTCCAGCTGGACGGGAGGGCCCTGCTTCCAGGCGCGGAATGTGCGCAGAAAGCGGGCGGCTTCCGAGGAAAGTTTCTAGGGAAAAGCTTCCATGTCCATTCTTTCCATCCCTCCTTACAGGAATCCATCAGAAACTCAGGGGAAACAGGTTTCCTTCGAGATCCTTCTTTTCAGGGATCCATTGAAAAAACTGCAGGGGAAAGAGGTTGTTTCTGAAACGAAGGATGGTGAAAAGAACGGGGCATCAACCCCTAGAATGTTGACCCTCGGATTAATACACCCGTCGTATTACTAGGGGGTCCAAAAAGATCGCCCCCCGATCCAAATCAACCAGCGATTTAACTTCATCCAACGTTCCCATTACTCAGTTGCCGAGTGGTGTCCGTTGTCAATTGGAGGGGGAGCCCTCAAAATTCACGTAGCAAGCAAGTGCGCCGTTTGCCCACGGCCACTGGAGGGGAGTCTGCTCAGTTGTCCAAACCCCACGTTTGGGTAAATGGGACATGGTGTAGAAACACGGGGGCCGCCTCATGACTTTTCCCCTTCGCAAGCTGGATATGTCGAAAACTGCCAACAGTGACTCGCAGATGTTGGCTTCCCCGAGCCTGAAACATATGACAAGGTTGCTTCCAAACTCAGGATGGCCAAATCTGAAGAGTAGAGCACTTGGTTTGGTTTCCTTTGGTCCTTCGGGTTGCCATTTTCGACCCGCAAACGATCGGTATTTGGTCGACTGGGGAGCCTCCCACGCCCCTGACACTCGCCCGGCCCTCACAGTTCAGCGGTCAGCCACATGAAGGGGTCGTCCTCAACGTGTCAAGACCTGAGCGGAAAATCCGGATGGAGAAGACCCGAAACGTGGCAATGGATCCCTCTTGCTATGCCAAACGTGAAATCAACACGGCCAAAGCATCGTAGCTCCTTTTGTTTGGGCTAGGGGGGATGATGGCAACACGCTGAATGTATGAGCCCGCATGATGAATTCATGGTATGAAACTAGCAGAGTTTGCAAACTTATAGCTCAAGTCCAGAGAACTTGCCACAAACTGGGTTCTGATTGCTCAGGTTCAGCACCCGTGCCTCTTCCCACTAGCAATGGCTTTCCTTCCAAAATACCTTCAGGTCACCGGGCAGGGAGCACATCGGTTGACCCCGTCCGATGCAGGCCTTTGTAAGCTACACCATACAGAGCCGCCGCCGGGGGCCTCGCCTCGGCGACCATGGGCTTTCCCGCTTTTGGGACGAAATCGCCGGTGAATCCTTCCATTTGCTTAATGTTTTTGTTGTTTTAATGCATTTTTTTCTTGTTGGGTTGAAAAGGAGTTTATCACTACTGGACATATATTTAGTTTTCGCAGGGTCTTAAACAAATGGAAGTGAATAGGGGGGTTCGGCAAAATCAGGGACCTCATGTGGCTAAACCAAGGCAGCCAACCAGTGAAAGGAGTTCTCGTTGGGCCATGAAATGGACGTGCCGACAAAGCCGCGGACATGTGCGATATAACTCTGGTGTTTTTGAGGTACGACTGATGTTCTCGTTTGTCCAGAACCTCTCAGTTTTGCGTGGATTGGGCGCGATTCCATGGATCCCAGAAGCCCATGTATCTACGTGGAGCATGCAAAAAAAACCGTCCCTCACGTTTGAGTCGGGTCAACAAGAACGTTGGAGGCCGGGCCAACGAGGTACACATCCAGCTCCTTAATGTTGACCCCAGATGAACAAACCCGTCCTGCGAATAGGGGGATGTCACCCAAAGAGAATTCCCACTAAAAGGAATTGGGACACCTCCCTCCATTCAGCCACCAGAAACCGTGTAATCCGGGGTCAACATGGCACCATAGCCTAGGGCCCAACCCGAAAGGAACATCTAGGGCATGGCCGAGCCTGAGTCAGATGCACCGGGAAACACGGCCGTGCCAGGGATGCGAAGACGATTTGAGGGGCCCTTGGCCAGTAAGCTGTGTATCCAACTTCTGGCAAGGCCTTTTTGGGTGTGCCTTTGTTTAGGGGACGCCCAAAAAATAGGTTGGCCTTTTGCTTTCCCTTCAAAACCACAAAGAAGACGTACGCTACAGAAAAGAGACATGCTTCTGAAGAAAGCAATTGTTTAAATGGTCCTCCGGGCATGTGCGACGGTCGATGGGCTGCCGGGGGTGGATTGCCCCGGTCATTGAGGTGATCCGGCAAAGATGCGTTTGATTCAAGGCTCCATTGACGAGGCCGGACGTTGCGCTGATTGATACTCATTCCCTTGGAACCAAACGGATGTATATCAGCCACACAACAGTTTGTAGGTTTTCAGGGTAGCCCTTGTTCCTACTTGCAATATTCCTAGAATCAAGCATAGACACACCGTGCTTTTCGGGCTTATTGCACTGACCCGGTCTTGTGTATTGGGCGATGAGATCCAAAGTTGGCTGACCATGCACTGGCTTTGTGTATTCATTTGAGGACATGACAATTTCTCACTTGTTCCGAAGCAGCTGCTTGGATGTTCAATCCACTTCGTAGCTACGGCCATGTTAAAACTGGGGCTGCTTGGGTCAACGATTAATCACAACCTACTAGGTTGGTTGAACATCTAAATTTGCTTTTCAGAAGGGTTGGATTCTTAGGATCCCCTGTCCGCTTTTTCGACTGCAGCTAGGGGCCTCATGTTTGTGAAAGCCAGTACATCAAGCCGCGGCCCCCGGCAGGCTCGACTCATGTCCTTGCCGGACGTTGGTCAGAGGCAGGGCGAAGGGCAGATGGAAAGAGGCCACAGGCGTTTGCAACCTCAAGCAAAGCTTTGCAACCTTACCCATGAAGGTTGACTTCTTGGGGGGCCCTGAATAGGTTGGTGAGTTCTGACGTTATGACTCATCCACGTGAAGAAGATAATTGTCTTTGCGACACATGACGACACAGTCTGAATGCATGATGCATGAAGGAGGCTTTGCGTGGAGGATTCCCCTCGCTATGACGGCGTAGCTACTGAGCAGACTTGCTCCGAGCCGATAGAAGATCAGATTGCGTAGAAAATAGGTCGGCCGCGGGACTTAGGAATGCATTTGCCTTGACTTGCTTCCTTGGAAAATTGGTCGGGCCCTTTTTCCCTTTACCAGAGACCACACTTCTACCCAGGATCCAAAGGGAGCAACCCCAGCTTCTGAGTTGTGCAGGAAGCGGAGATGGGGAAGTCGCAAAGGAACTCCATGTGGTTCTCACAAGTTTTGGTACGTGACCGGTTTGGCCCAGGTTTCTCTGGGATCCTGTTTTTGGCGTGTAGATCCTAGAACTCCAGAAAGCACTCTGTTTTGGAGGAGTCCCCTCCTTGGCCTAACCCGGTTTCTCAGCCTTGGCAGGTGGAACAGCAAAGATGCGGGCTGGCGACTTGCCCAAAAATGGTTTCCAATTGGAGCTGCTGTGATGCGGGGTGCTCCATGTCCGTAAAAATATGACCCTGTGCTTCATAGAGTCCAACTCCACCCGCCTCCCCCCCGTTTCTTCAAGATAAGACCCGCGCTGCGAGCCTGGATTTGCTATGAAGTTCCAAACGGCTCCAAATGGTTGGTGAGCATGAAGCCATATAAATGCTCAATCATGTCCTACTGTAGATGGACGAAATCCTGCACCACCTAAGAAACCCTGGAATGTTGATTCCCCTGTAAATACCAACCGACCATGGCTTCCCATGGTTTCCCAGTGGTGCAGGATTTCGTCCATCCACAGTAGGTTCAATCTTAAAATGTCCCTGAAATATTCCCGTTGTTTAGGTCAGAGAAGATGGTTGACAGTAGTTATGTGCATTCTGTGCTTCAAAGCACAGAGAGATCCTTATATACAGCTCCAAAAGCGGCAGTTATGGCAGGCCCGCCTTTGAGTGTGGCCTTTTGTGTTTCTTTCCCTGGCTTTGGGTAGGCTTCTCTGTGGGTTCCATTTATTGATTACCCCAAAGTAGACTTATATCCATTGGCTTCCCTCTTGGGGACCTCAACCACCACCCGTGGGTTTAGGTCTACCTGGGGATAAGCAGCACGTGGAACCGAGAGAGCCTCTTTTGATTACAACTTAGAGAGGCCATTCTTTTTCTAACAGAGGCATGTGCAGTCGGCTTGCAGGAATGTTTCCTGCAATACCACTGCATGGGAAACTCTAGTGGCCAAGCCGCCCTTTTTCTTCGTGTTGTGGGCTACATCCACAAACAACTGAAATGTATGTCTGGTCAGCATGTGACGCTGGGCCAGTAGGAAACGTGTTCGTTCTCTTTGTTGCTTATAGGGACTCAGCCCATTCAATCAAGTGTCTTAGAGTCCAACGCTTCCGTTCAGAAGCTTCGACCGGCGCCAAGGTTGTGCCTAGATGAGGTCTACGTGCGCGAGGCAGCCACCTATGTTTGATAGGTGCTCTCGCAAGAGACCAAAGCGTCTCAGTCTCTGGCATGATTTGGTTCCTGGAGTGATAAACGCGCACATGGTCGATAGGATGCGGTGGTGTTAGGGTTCCAGGTTGCCATGATGGTTTCATCGACCATCTTCCTGGCCATTCATGCTTCAGTCATTGTGTCTGTGTGTGTGTCTGAGGGTACCCCTTTGGATTAAAGGGAAGTCAGAAGGAAAAAACAACATTTTGGGGTTTATCCTATTTCGGCACATGGGAGAACATGGTTGCTACCCTTTTGGGCTTCCATCTTGCAATTGCATTGTGGCCCCCCAAGAGGCACGCAAAAGTAGCGCCTAATTCGCGTATTAGTCGCTATTAGCCCTCTTGTTGGGATTAGGGGTTCTCGGAGTGCCCTTGGCAACCATAGGACATTGGGCGGAGCACTGAGGTGACATTGGCACGACCTCTTGTTTCTTGCAGCAGAAAAGGGCGGTAATTTTGGCGTGTCCCCGTACGACGGGCCTTCTGGGAGCTTCCATGTTGAGGGATGTGGCTGCTGTCGGGTGGATCTTGGTCCGCAGCTGGCCAAAGAGCCACATCGCTTGAGCATATTCACATGGAAAGGTCATCCACGGAACGTGCCAGTCGCAGGCCTGTCGCCTCTAGCTATCAAGTCTTGGTCAAACACTGGGTCAAACACGTGTTCTTCAAAGAGATGCGGCGAAACGAGAACGCCAACGCCTCCGCCTGGAGCACCAAACACGCGCGTCCGTGCGGGCGAGAAGAACCATGGCAGCCATGCGAAGCTTCTTGCTGATGGTGGCCGTTGTGGCAGAGGTCCCGCTGGAGGCTCGAAGCCCAAAGCAAAAGAGGAGACCACACAAATGGGCGTGGCTCAAAATTTAGGAGCTATTGTTACGCAGGGTTTGGTCTTTGTTTCCATTTACCTAGGGGCCAGTTTGGGTACATCGTTTTGAGCCACAGCCAAATTGCTGTAGAATCACGGGGTTCCGCTATTTTGACTAGGGTAGAGTTAAACCCGGGGGTAGACTTCATTCCCCCAACAGGAGAACCCCTGGTGTTTTTTCTTGTCTATTTTGGGGTAATCAAAAAGTGGCGAATCCGAATCCGGCCGTAGAAAGTATCAAACACAGCAGGGTATTTAAGAGGGAAAAGGGGAAACCTTCAATCGACGGGGGGGAGGACTAATCTTGCGCTGACGTTAGTGTGCGCACTTGAGGCAAATTGCCGACTAGCATATTGGCCGACAGCTCTGCTTTCCGGAAGCAGAGTTGAGCACTAGATACTTGGCCGAGCCCAGCATTGGTGCTCCGGTACTGTCTGACTGCTAGCATGCAAAGCATGGTGTATATGTCTGGTTGATGGGGTAAGAGGCATGCGCAACTCAGAGTTTGGCCAAGTAGGGCGAATTGGCCAATGGCTGCATTCCCTTCCCTTTTGACAGGGTGACCCATTAGAGGATATTCTGACATCCCCGGGAGAGGGAAGCGTTAGTGTCTAGACAAACTGTGAAGTGTGTGTGAGTGTGTGTGTGTGTGATCATCTGCCTCCAAATCTCTCCCTATCCTATGCTCATGTTATTTTTGCTGGTGTCGTGATGTTGCCCACTGGCACCATAGCACAGGAATGCCTCGAGGAGGTATCGGAGTCGAGCACGGAAGCGCTGATGGCGTTGCAGTTTCGGGCCAATGTGTCCCAGCGCGCCTCGGCGCTTATCCAATTGTCCAGGTCCCCCAGCTAGGTGCCCTTTTACCTTTTTTTTTTTTTCCGGGAGGGTTCCACTACAAAAATCGACTACAGAGCAAAGGGTACCCTTATTCTAACCTCTCTGCTGGAGGACCTAGTTGTGAATTGAGGGGAACCCAGCATGAAAACCAGGAGGCTCTCCAATCATTCCCTTTCATGTTCAACCCACTAACCGAACCCACAGAGTTATAGACTTCCAGGATGCAATATTTGTTTCTCTTGCTTTTGATTGAAACAAACCTCAAACAAGGTGAAGACCTACCATTCAGGGTTGCCAGACCTTGATGCCCAGTTCAGTGGCACCCTCCAACTCCCTCTTTTTGGATATTCTTCCACGAAACATGGTTCGCTTTGGAGAGCCCAGGATTCGAATCCAGAGGACTCTCCCATGGATCGGCTATTCAATAAAGCCCACTTGGATATTCAACCGACTCGCCAGTCTCGTAA